ATATATGTATATATATATATATATATATAAATGTATGGATATCTGTATACATTCAAACTTGCTTTAACAGCAATTCGTCCAAGACAACCCTGAACAAACCACATTCTCTCAGTAACTCCTCGAGGTTTTTTTTTCTACATTATACCGTCACTGTCCAAGACATCCATCTGTCTATTTCGACTACATTAGTGTACATATCCACAGGCAGCCTTATACATGTAAGTGTTATGACAAAACAGCTGACGTCATCAATGGGTAGGAAGTGACCACACGAAACTCTTCCCTTTTGATTGGCGAAGACTTGGAAGCTGGGGACCGACTGGTTGTGGTTCTGACCAACCCCACTGAGGGTCAGAAGCTTGAAGATGGAATAGCACAGGGCTGTTTATATTTTCCGTGTATTCTGACGTGCACTCAGCTGGCCCTTCTGTCTGCAACCTCTGTAAATGTATTTAGTAACGAGGAGAATGGTGAATGCTGTTGTCGTTGTTGTCGTCGTCGTCGTCGTCGTCGTCGTCGTTGTTGTTGTTGTTGTCGTTGTTGTTGTTGTTGTTGTTGTTGTTGTTGTTGTTGTTGTTGTTGTTGTTGTTGTTGTTGCTGTTGTTGTTGTTGTTGTTGCCTTTAGTTGACGGTAAAACCATTCTGTACATTCCATAGATTGCCACATTGGTAAAAGTAAACTTTAACGCTCCCTCCCCCTTATTCGCTACTTACTGGACCTAATACGCACAACCAGGGTCTCCACTCTCTGTGGCTTACATGTGGGTCTCATTGACGCCATTTGAGGAGACACTTTTACTTTTAAGAATAATTGGGGAGGAGGTGTGAATTTATTGTCATCGTCACAGCCACCAGCATAATGACGAAGTAGATGAGAGTCCTTATGGAAGCCGTTCGTCAATTCTGTCATCTCTGTTGCGGACATGGAATCAGCGAGGCTCTCACACTCCGCAAGGGGTTAGCGTTTGACAACGAAGAAGAAATCATCCAATGCGAGCAGAACAGCAGCACAAGCCACGCCCATCCGGACAGTCCAAACGCTGTGACTCCGCCCACTCGGAGGCCCGCTGTAGAGCCACGACGGGTCCCCCTGGAGCGATGGCCGCCGGAGTTGTAGCCGCCCACAGGCCGGCCCCCGGAGTACCCTGTGGTCTCTGGCGGGGATGACGTTGTGCTGAGGATGTCCATTGGATGACCGAAGGAGCACCCGTAGCCGTAGATAGCTTCTACCACGGGCGCTGATTGGTTGACCGTCTCCATGTACTTGTTGGCCACCTCGAAGTTACAGCCAAAAGCCATGATGGAGTATACGCAGATGATGTAGTCGTTGGTGAGGCTGAAGGGGGAGAAACATGTTTGCTTTGTTAGTGTTATTGTAGATATGATTACTTTATAGGCCTACACATTACAATGTAGGTCATTTATAATAGTGTGTAAAGCGCAAAAAGCTTGCTGTTAAGCGGGAATTTGTGCTATACAAATGCTACCTATAATCGTTTTTCTTTAGGAAGCCGGCTGTTTGTACTTTGCCTGTCAGGTGAAAAAAGGGGGAAACAGCATTCCAAAAGACAGACAGTGACAAGGGCTAAGAAAAAAGATAAATATTTATCCGCTGAAGAATTGAACTCACGTCCTCTGTGAGTGACGATGAAGGGCCTACCCATTACACCACAGACAGCAGCTACAAGCACGGTTTGGACTGCATGTTCAAAGAAAAAGAAAAGACTTTACGATTCTACTTCTTTGTGTTAAAAAAAAATAAAGAGAAAAGCCTAAATAAAAAGGTTAGAAACTAAGGTTGTTGTTTTTTTCCATGGTGATCTCTTTTAAGAAATAGCACCATGGCAGGGTGCTTGCTGCAAGCGAGCTCAGCTAAGCTGTAACATAAAGAAAACAAAAATCCTAATGATCTGGCCTGAGAAACAAGAATGGCGTTTGCATTGCGAAAAGGTCAAACGGTCCAGAGGAAAAAAGTATTATTTTTCCACTTTATTTTTGGAAAAGAAGAGCAGACGCGTTGGGGGAT